GCTAGCCCACTGAGATACCAAGCCGCAGTGAAGCGTGAATACCCCACTCAGATACATTATACTGACTCCGAGCCGACCAGTCCTTGTTGTACCCATTAATGTCGAGCGCCAGGCAGGGACCAACAAGTACCATATTTTAACGTCTTTTGGTATGACGCGGTCGGGGATCGAACCCGCGACCTTCCGCTCTCCGGGCGGACGCTCTAACCACTACACCACGGAGGCGGTCAGTTATCCATATGGTATCCATAGCACCCAGTGGATATAATAATCCATGCATTAAAACTCATTTTTACGTATTTTTGTGGCATGAGCATCCGATCATCATAAAATATAATTCAGAAACAAGGAGTAAAATGTATGTTTTACTCAACATACCTGGCCGATGACGGTGTCTGTCGTCTTCTACGGCTGCTAGGTTATGGCCGGTGAAAGTATCATCTAAGGCGTCAAGCGCATCTAGGATAGAACCTACCCACAAGCTTCCCAGGACCTTCGAGTCAAACATGAACAACCAAAGCTGCAACCCTTGCAAGAGAAAAAAAATACGAGAACTGAATAAAATTGGTCAAAAAGATTTAGAGGATTGTCGATAATCCAAGGAAAAGAAGAAAAACCAAGACACCAAATAGGGTGTAAAAACGTTCAAAGGTACCATGACGCTTGGCCAGTTTTCGAAATGTTGACCTCGTGGCCAAGCTGTCATTCAATAACATTCAACGAAACGTTCTGTGGTTAAAGGGAGATAACTCCAAGTTATTTTTACCGTCAGCTGCACAATAACTCAATTCATATGCACACATGCGAAGTGAGTGAGTGAGTTTAGGTTTACGCCGCACTCAGCAATATTCCAGCTATATGGAGGCGGTCTGTAAATAATCCAGTCTGGACCAGACAATCCAGTGATCAACAGCATGAGCATCAATCTGCGCAATTGGGAACCGATGACGTGTTGCATGTCTCAACCAGGTTTGGGGTGCATTTGGCCTGGCGCTAGGGCTGGTCCTTGTGAACAGCACGTGCAGCATGAGTTGCATGAAAAACATGGAGAACACCTTTTCATCTCCGAGATCAGGTTGCGTTTTTGAGACCATTTCCTGGGTTCCATTCTGAGTTTGAGAAGGAATGTCTTTGCTCAAGTAAAGTTGGAGATGTTGTAAAAAAATATACAATCAAAACATTAACTGAGTTTACAGTTATCCGTTTCTGCGAAGGAACATTCCAAACTGACGTTTCTTTTGCGGCTTAGTATATAAGAGACCTAAATAACATCACAGACTCCTAGTTTGATTATTAACACGAAACACTGTGGACAAATACGTGGTATCGTTCAGCACAATAATGAAGCACAGACGACAAGATTAATGTCAATCAGTTCAATGTCAACTTCAACCCGCACATACTATAATCAGAAAACAATAAACGGGTACACAGCAAAGATCAGGTTGTTCTACTGATCGTTGGTGCCAGATGCAAAGTTGAATAAATAGTTGTAAAAGCTGGAATTTGAGAGAAAGCCTGTAGATGCCACGGTGTTCAATTCACAAGCCTTATTCCCAAAAGAAAAAAAAACACCTGATGGTGCAGCATGACCCGAGATGGTAGAAACCAGATATGGCTCAATTCAAAACCAGCACCATTCATTGCTTGAAAGCTTGAGACTCGGAGACAGTGGGCAATATAACTTTTCAACAACCTGTATTACGCAAGATTATTCGTGAATCTCAAATATTGATGGGGTTCCTATGGAATACTGTAAGGGACATTCTCGCGATCTCGACCTCGCGAGAATGCGAGATCGCGAAATTGTCTCTTACAGTTTTCAATAGGTTACCGATTTCGTGTAGCAACTGCTTAGGGCAAGCGAGCTTAGGGGCAAGCATTTGACACCATGTTTTCATCCGGTAGAACCCTAAAAACCTTTTTAAAGGCCAATGGCAAAGGCAGCTGCAACATCACCCCAAACCCAACAGGTTGTGTCTACAAGTTGGAATGCAACGGTGGTGACACTTACATTGGTGAGACTGGCAGACCTATTGCCACTCGGATTAAAGAGCTCAAAACATCTATGAAGAAACAGACTTAACATCAGCTCTTTCTGAACACTTAGTTAAGAACCCTGACCATACCATCACCTTAGCCGTAAGCATTAGCACTTGGCTTAAACGAAAATTAATGGAAGCAATCCACATCAAACGGTCTAAACCCGAGCTGAATAGGAACCAGGGTGTCTTCCTTCCCAATGGATGGTGTATTAAGTAATTTCCTTCCAACAACGGTGTTAACCTAAACATGTTGTACATCCCAATCACCAAATTTCTATCACTTTATACCTGTTTCTGGCTTCCATCTATGGTCACTCTATGTAAACGTGCTGTACAAACATTATGTATACCCTATTTAACTTAACGTCTTACTAATCTATTGTAAAAAACAACTCTGTGGCTTCCTGTTCATACTATATATACCTCTGTAACTATTGACTGTCATTCACCTGATGAAGGGGCAAGTATTAGCCCAGAAACGTCGTGTGTAAATAATAAAGTAGTTTCACATCCATATCAAGTGTCTTGTATTAATATTTATATACTTTCGCATGACGATATGTGAAACATGATCTGAAAATGTAGACGAAGGACATACATTTATATACCTTCACGTGACACTATATGATACGTGAAATGTTGATATAGACAGAGGTCATATCGATATATACCTTCACGTGACGATATGTGAAACATGAACTGAATATAGACAGAGGTCATATCGATATATACCTTCACGTGACGATATGTGAAACATGATCTGAACATATATTTAAATACCTTCACACGACATTGTATGATTCATGATCTGTAGATGTAGACAGAGGTCATATAAATATTTACCTTCATATGACGATTTGCGAAACATGATCTGAAGATATTTATATGCCTTCACCTGACGCTATAAGATACATGAAATGTTGATGTAGACGAAGGACATATAAATATATACCTTCGCATGACAATGACTGACTCCAAGCTTTAAATAGCTACGGTAGCATATACATTCTTGCCAAATTAGAAACAACGTGGATATGTGTTTATCTGTGAGCTACAATCTTATGCTTAAATATTTTAATTGCATTGCAGACAGCTGCTTCTGTAGTTTAAGCTGTTGATACGACTACTTATTTAGTTGATATATAGAGTACTACTTTCAATATTTCACCGAGTCTCAACTCAAATCAACACATATTCTTACAATGCATAGATAACACTGGTGTACAAGTATACAACTGACTTATCTTACTCAATAGTTTATGTATGAAAAGATAATTTCCCAGACATGGTTCAGACATAACTACACCGAATCAACTCCTTAAGATCATATTGGAATAATGTTCAAAAGTAATTTCCATATGCCTATGTATATAGTTTTCGTGGGTGTCTGCATATTGAGTATAACGCAAGCTACTTATATATATTTTTCTTAATGGGATCACACAGGTCCGAATCGGGGGTTATCAATGACACACTGAGAAGTAGTATTATGTACTACAACTTCTTATCTAGTCTCTCTCACAGTCCCCGATGCACATTAATTTCCCTACTGCCTAGCTCTCCCTACAATGATGAAGCCCTAAAAGAAGCAAGTCTAGATTTCCCATCTGACTGGGACTCCTTTTCAATTTTAATGGGTTGATTTGTTACTATCAAAATTATATATATTCAGGGATTAAGCGTTAGTATACTTCTTATGATGATGTTGGGGTAATATTTTGAGTTAATTGTCATGGATAGCGTGCAGAGCCATCCTTTTATCAAAATCCAGTAAATCTCTGTGTGTTATTATGGACTTTCAACATAATACATACATGTCATTGTTGATTTGTACACTATAATCTCTCTTAGACCAATGAAAACGTACGTTGAAACAAGAAGATTAGCAATTGAAAGACCTAATAGTCGTTTATGACAGTGGCAATGTTGCTCGAAATTGTGGTTGTAAAATACACTATAAGAAGTGGTTGTAAAATAACGTATCATATTTAATTGTTGTTATGTCTTCGACAAGGTTGTCATAGTGACTACAAGTCACCACTGCTCTGTTTGTTAGTGCTAGCAAGGAAACATGGCCAGACCTAGATTACCTGTCAACCAGTCAGTTTTTAAGTATATTTTAGGACACCTGGATTTAGTCTTTCACACCTGCAGAACCTGCCATTATATACTTTTTAAACGAAGGAGTATTTTATATACCTAAACTGTTTTCTTATTGATACCCCTTTTATTATGTGTATATGTTAATGTCTTATCTCCTGTTTGTCTTTTTAGGTACGTTTATTCATATTCTGATACAGTTTTAGTATTTAAGTATTTATATGTCTCTCGTAAATCGCTGGGCAATTGGTTATGTATTTTTATAACTTTGTAAATATTTTGTGAACTGTAACATGTACACATGTGAGACGATAATAAAACATTGATTGATTGTTAGTAAGGGTGAGTAGCTGAGTATTGTTTAAGGCCGATTTTAGCAATATTTCGGCAATATCACGGCGGGGGACACCAGAAATGGGCTTCACTCATTGTACCTATGAGGGGAATCGGGGTTTTCCCACTTACCCAGGCACAGATTAGAGAAAGGTTTGTTTAGTAACGACAATGTTTCAATACGGCTTGGAAATTGTATGCACATTGCATATTTGAATATGTTAGAAATATTAATATAAAGCTAAACAATTGAAATATACACGAATTGTATCTCATACCAACACACATGTGATATCTGCGTCACACACACATTCACACGTATCAAAATGCACAGACACACACACACACACACACACACACACACAGGCACGTACGTACGTACGCACCGACAAGAGTATGTTTACATATTTCGAGCTAACCGCCAAATGCATATAATTGCCATCTTTGTCGACAAAAGCTCACACATCGGGAATCTTTTACATTGTTGTTTCTGGTAGTTTCAGTGTCTTCCTTCTTTTACAGGACTAGACGGCAAGCGACTAAAGAGAGCATCAGGTACGTAAAACATGCTGTTAACGGAAAGGAATGCGAAAAGCGTCATACCATTTCAATATGGGATTGAGGTTAACCAGAGAACTGGCTGGACATGTTGTCTGTTGAATAAACAGAAGTACAAACATGTGTCTTTGATTTGGAAGTGTGGATCATGTGTTGTCATTTGGTGAAACTGTTTCCGGCTTTCCACAAAAAGAGTAAAAAGGGTCAAAGGATAGTCTCTATTTTCATTTATTTATATTGCAAACGCCTTTAACAAAATGTAAGTGGAATACAATTACAGTATGAACGTTTGAAATAAAGCATTTGCTTATCGTTAAGGGGCAGTTTCCACACTCATGCACATATTGCATATAATCAGATAATTCACATCCACATGATGTCAAGCAAGACACTTTGTGAAGTTTGATAAAAGCTGTGAAGCATGTACAATTTTCTAGTTTTCTCTCCACAACAAGAGGTGTTCAGTGTACGAGGGTCGATCAAAAAGTACGTAGCCTTACTATATTCTCGATGTCCAGTGTTTTGAAGGAATCGTTAGCAAAGCCATATCCAAAATTTCACATGTGTGGGTAATGTGGTTAACCATATATTTGTCATTACAACACATTGGGGTACAATATGTCTAACAAAATTTCAGAAAATGAAAAACGATTGGTCTTTCGGTATCTCTTGGATAATGGTATGCCCTCAGAAAATGTCATATAAAATATGTTTAGCATAGTATTGGATGACTTCCCGTCATGATCAACAGTCAAAGATTTGGATTGCCTAATTTATATTTCGCCGGGGGCTATTTTTTAAGGACACCCCCATTCTAATCTTTCAAAATCATTGTGTCCGGATATTCAAGCCGGCACTGTTTACAATATATTGTGAGCTGACACTTGTGTGTATTTAGTTTAAACCCTTGGCATGATGTATGCATAAGTGAAAACATTAGAATAAGCTATGCCCTTATGATTACGTCATCTGAAAAGGGGGTGGGTGGTGTCTCCAAAACAGGCTCTTTCAGTCAACATGAAGAGGGGAGTCACTTTAACAAGCGATTGTAATTTCAAATTGCTTTTTTATGAACTTTAATATCTAAGTGTGATTCTAGGGGACTCCTATCAATCTCAAACACACAACATATTTTTTTTGCATATTTTGTTTCCTGAAGGTTTTGATGCATTTATTGTTGATTTTCGGTTTTTGAGGGTACCATGATAAAAGGTAAAAAAACAAATAGGGATCGTGAGACTGGAACATAGCAAAACCAAATTGCTTGAGCTTGACAGATAATATGTAAAAAAATAAAACATAAAAATGACTGCATTTATATCGTTTTCTTGGTGAAAACAAACATAGTTGTGTACAGGACGAATCATTCAAAATACTTTGTGTATGCATAATATAAAGTCATCTTGTGATAGGTCATATAATTCTTTGGATCATGAGACACGTGTTCATCAATACCCGTATTCGGCCAAGAATTAGAGAATTTCATTTCTCAGAAGTTTTCATGTCTGTTTTAGATGCGGGTGAACAGAAATGCAAATGTAAGTATAAAATTATTGTACATTTATCATTTGCCAAACTCGTTAACGTATCGGAGAAGCTTACGACACGTAACAGAAGCATGGCAAAAGGACGAAAGGAAAGAGATGCCGAGTAAATATGAGATTATTGTGGGGATGATATATGATATTGACCGAGGGGATCAATGAAAGTGAAAATCTAACTAAAGACAAGAAGGCGGGATAACCGTAAACATGTCCATAAAAGGAATGTTCCTAGTTGTAGTACATCATAGTATTCGATATATATACCAGGCACATAAAGAAACTGTGCATACAAAAATTTAAAATCTAAACTTATCAAACCTGTGTAGACACATAAGGATTCAAACTCAGAGATTAGTGACATGTTTCCAACATGCATGCACGTGCTGAGTTCCGTGACGTCAGTGGGTTCGTCCTTGAGACGTGCAATACGTTGTTGCACATGCATTCCTGGAAAGAGAAACAGAGCAACTGAATGCCGCA